TCTCTATCTCTCTCTATCTCTCTCTATCTCTCTCTATCTCTCTCTATCTCTCTCTATCTCTCTCTATCTCTATCTATCTATCTATCTATCTATCTATCTAGTGTATTTGCAAGGCAGAGCAGCTGTGGCGTCGAGCCTGCCAAGTGGAACGAGAGCGGGCCCAGTCGCGAATCCCAAGCGAGTCTCCAGCAGGTCCATTGCATTGATGTCAATGAAAACAAGCTCCATTGCATTTGAGGCTGTTGGGATTTGATCTGGAGGAGGCAGGGCGCTGAATTGAAGGGCCAACAGGGCAAAGCAGGTCGCCCCTCAGGCCGCCCCTCAGGTCGCTTTTTGTGGCTCAACTTCAGAGCCTTTTGGGAAACCACCTCGCTCGAGCGAGGTGGCCCTTGATCCTGACCAAACCTGGCAGGCTCGGAGTTTTAGGTAGGGGTAGTGGGAGTACTTCTGTGAAGGCTCAGCTTGGCTGTGAGACCAGGAGGCTCCAAAGACGAGAGAGAGTCTCAGGTAGTCAGCAGCCATCAGTTTCTGTATTTTCACTCCGGGTAATATGTACACTCTGCCATGCACTGCATATAGGATATCATGTACGCTTACCTGTAGCTCGCGGCCCAAAACAGGGGCGGTAGCTTAACGGCTGTTTCTATAGGTTATCAGCCGTAGTGCTTTAACCACAGCCATGGACGCCCTCGCTATTCCCGGTAATGCCGCGTCATCGGTTGCCGTGCCAGCCGGTCTCGTGACTGAGCCCACAGTAGATCTAGACGATCCCATGGGTTCAGCCCCGGTGACAGCGTACTTTCAGTTCGTGCAGCAAAACATTCAGCAGGTATACAACGGTAATGAGGATGCAATCGTTGAAGGAGGTATTAGCGCAATGGATGGAAACGGTACAAGCCAAGTTCCACCAGGCAATCCTTGAGGTAGAAGGCAAGCACCATGAAGAGCTTGGTTCAGTGAAGCAACAGGCCCAATCTAGCTACAACAAGTTGCAAGTAGAGCTTAGCGCTGCAAAAGCACGTATTTTCAATCTGCATTGGAAGCAGAAGCAATGAAAGCTGAAATGGATTCCTTGCGCACACAACTCATGCACCATTGTCAGCAAACAGTAAGCGCTATCACCAGCAATGCCGAGCAAGGTGTTGCGAAACTTCGTGCAGAGTTTGATGAGCGTGAACTCAAGCTTCAGCGTGATTTGAGGGAGGCAGAAAATGAAAACTATAGCTTGCAGCAAATCATCGGTGACCCGAGGGCTGAGAACAAAGATGCCACTGACCCAGGGTATTGTCCAACGAGCATAATAGCTTCGCCAACATTGACGCCTAGGCCAGGCGAGCAAGAGAAGAAAGGTACATTTGAGACCATCGCAGCAGAGGCTAGTGCACGACTGAGTGGGTTGTTTGGACCTAGTGTGCAAGAGGCCACCGTCACTGGTGATGCCCCAGCTGAGGCAACAGCACCAATCAAGCCGGTACTACCCGTTTATGGTGGTACTATTCCGGATAGTGGCAAAACCCAAACTCACATGTTTCACAGCCCTGCACCA